TGGACTGCATGTATAGAAGATATATATATATATATATATATATATATGGGATGATGTAAACTTTACAACCCTTCAAATTACAAATGATCATGATAAAAAAAGTTGTGAAAGGTGGATTTATCAATTTTGTAGTCTACTTTTTTAAAAAGTTATTTTTATGGAATAATTTTGTAAATATTACTACAAGACAAATAATATTTTTATCATCTCCATAAGGGATAAAGTTGAATTTTAACTAAATGAAAAGAGTACTCTACAAATAAAGTTCTACAACACTAACTTCTAAAATACCAGAACAAATTGAATAAAAGATATCTAGGTGGGTATGAGCGTAAAATTCTCTCTTTTTTCCTTTAAGGTGAGGTTTGTATAAGGTATCAACCATAAATAATCACGGTAGGGGGCACATCAAAATCTTGTTATAAGATGTAATTTAGGTGCCAAAATTTTTATGATTATCTCAAAATGTATTTTTCACCCCTATTACGAAATGGAAAGCTCTAAAAATAGTGTAGATCTAACAAATTTATGAATACTTAAATATCTTGACAATAGACTGTCTAGATAATGTATTGATACTTGAAATTCAATTTTTTTTTCATATTTATATACATCGAATTAGAGGTGATTAATTGAAGAGTTTTTTAACGATAAAACAACCCTTTTCAATGAATTTTGAGGTGCACCTTACTTGTGCAGGTGTAAAGTTGAACCTTACATAAACTTTAGGCTTAAATAATTCAAAATTTCGGGTGTTTTATTCAATATTTCATTTGGGTTCGTTTCGGCAGGTTCATAATTAAACGAAATTTCCTTGCTGAGATGAAACCGTATAAAAAGCGGGAAATTACAAATCGCCCCTGAGCACTGAACCAGCCTCTCTTATCTCAAGCGCTCTCTCTGTCTTCCTTCCTCTGCAAAACCCAGATTTCTTCTCTTTCTTCCTCTGTGAACCCTAATTCGAAACCCTAGATTCTCCTTTCTTTTGCTGTAATACTGCTTCATTCTTGTGCCGGAGCCCTTTGTTTAAGCAACGGAGGTTTGCTTTTGATCGCTCCCTCTCTGCATGTCCTGGTTAGAAACCCTAGTTCCTAGCTTTTGATTTCTTTTCATGGAATAGTGAGTTAACTGTTATTGCCACTTCCAGTCTCTGTGGCTGCAATTTCTTGCGTTAAGCTCTAAACAAGGCCTTCTGCATAATGAGTTATTGCTTGCCTCCATTGAAATCCCAGGTAAAAACCCTAGATTTCTATGCCCAACACAGGTTGTGTAAATTAAGTATTCCAGTTTATCAAAAACGAGTTGATAGCCTGGATTTCCATGGCGGATATAGATTCCTTGAAGTGCCTGGTGGAGCTTCTGAGAAACTGCAATTTCTAGGGTTCAGATTCAAGCAAGCGGTTCATTTCATGAGAGATAGGAGCAAGAATAGGAAGCCGTTGCAAAAAGGTCGGAACTTGAGCATTGAGGGAATTCAGACCGTGCAGGCCTTGAAGAGAGCAAAGAAAGATGAGGATTCTCTTAGAAAAGTGTTTGTAACAAAGGTTAGGCGCCTGATCAAATTGGATATGATTTCTGTTCTTCGAGAATTGCAGAGGCAGAATGAGGGTGAACTGGCTTTGCAGGTGATTTTATGGATTATATTTCAAGACCAAACTTTTTTAAATTAGCTACATTTCTTTTAACATTTATCAGTGATTGTGAAATTTGGTTGGTGTTCAACGCTGAGAAACTTGATATAGTAGATAGTTTGTGATTAAATCTAGGGGAATTTATCAAAATGCACCCAACTTTTGAACAATTTAACATTTTACCCTTTCCACTGTTCAACTCATGTTTATGTTTAGGAAAATTGTTTCATGCGGGCTGGAACATATGACTACATACGCTGTCCAAAAAGTGTAAAGCATCCATCTTAAAGATGGATGCAAGTAGGTGTTCCATTTAAAAACAATGGAAACTAACGGTCCAAATGTTTTCTTACTAGAATTATTATTTCTAGTTTTAAAATTTACTTATTTTTCATATTCATGATCTCAATTACATGTCCTTAAAAATTAAGTCCAAAGTTCCATCTAAAAAATAGATTTATTAATAGGCCTGCATTTCTACATAGCTTGGCCGCATAGAAACGGGTCCGTTTGTTTAAGTGTATTTTGATCGGTATGTTCAAACTAAAGTAAAAGATATATTCCAGGGTGATATTATCGTACTCCTTTTTGTTATATTCCAGGGTGATATTATGTCCGGATGGTGATTATTAATTCATCTTTAGCTACCAAATTGTTATGATGTTTTGTTTGCGCATAGCAATCAAACTAAGATTTTTTGAATAGGTTTTAGTTGCTCATGTTATTTAGTATTTTGCAGAATATTATTTGCAAGTTTTCTTCCTACCAATAAACCATCTCCACAATTATTTCCAATTTTATCAAAGTATTAATTCGTCAACATTACAAAATCTTTTGGAGTGAGACAGTAAATTTATTTTAAAAAACGTATTATAAGAATGGCAAACCTTATAAGTGCGGTTGTGCATGTTTCTAGAATTCATAATTGTTGTCCAGGTTGTTCTCGTGATCTCTAAACATTATTGATTGGGTGTTCAATTAAGCAGGAAAATATTGTGTAAATTGTATGTTTTGCAATTACTGGTAATAAAAATTTGTCTTGGTAAATCCATAAATCTATGATGATGGAAGAATGATGGCTTGACTTCTACCCCTTTGTTTATGCTCTTCAATCTCAGTGTCAGTTTCAGTTTCATTATGCCTTGTGAGTATATCTATAAACATACTTGTCCAACAAACTCGGCTTGCTTGGAGTAGCCAAGATAAACCTCTGCTTAATTTACAATTCCTCAAAACACCACAAAGCAAATTCTTACCCTCTTGACAGAGACCTGATAATTCCATTGAAAGTAGAGAATATCCCAATATTTCCCCTGACTAGAGAGAAAAAAAAAGCGTGGGTCTCTACAGATGCTTACCCTATCTCGTTAATCGAGTCATGGGGACGTGTCATTGCAGTCCTCTTTGTGAAGGCTTTATGCCCTATTAGAATTATATCTTGCCCCACTATATGGATATGCCTGCCCTGTATTCATTGAGCTGTCGGAAAGCAAAGGTCTAGTATACAAGGACACTGTCAGATGGAAACCTCGGATATAAAAAGAAGAAGATAAATGGTATGATCTGCCTAATTTTGATGACGACAGAGAAAAGAGGAAATAGTTTGGCGGTTCATTGTGGGCTAGTTTTCTTTTTCTTTCTTTTTTGGGCTTGCTGAGCTGCACCCCCCACCCTTTTCCTCTTCTTTCTCTGTCACCACCAAAAAAAGGCTTATATGCAACTTCTAGACAACATATTGTTGCTTGGGGCTTGTATGGATCCCGGATTTCTTAAAACCTGGTTTTATGAAAACAGGTTTCCCTCCAGGCAAGGGTATTTGGCACCTTTTTTCCATTCAGAACCCAGTTTTCCATAACCCCAGATTGGCCCCCATCTTGAGGTTCCAGGAAATACTGCTGAAAGTAGTTGTCCAAAGCCTGAGTTTTGAGCACAACCAGGGTTTATTCCACCCAGGAGACCAACAATCTCTTGGAGTTTGAGCTAAGAATTGCTCCTGGAAATTACCTTATAACTGGGCACATCAGTTGGTTGATTGTCAAAGAGTCCACTGCCATTCTGACTGTTCTTCCTTGAATTTGGTCTTTTGAATATATTTGACAAAGGTGATCTGTTGAAGATGATGATCTTTACTGGTGATTTCAGAAGTTTTGGGTGCTCTCTCTTGTTATTGTTCTTCAAATGCGTCTTTTGAGTATATTTAGCAAATGGGGCCTGTAAAAGCTGGTGATTTTTACAAGTGAGTTTCAGTACACATTTTAGTGCTCTCACTTTTTTATTGTACCATGAATTTGTATCCTTAGAATAGAGTTTACAAAAACGATACAGGTGAATGGATGCTGATGATTTAGCAGAGGTCTTCCTCTACTTCATGAAGCTTATATCCATTTTAGAGGCAATTTAGTAGCTATTGCACTTCACTTGGTTGTTATACTATAACCCAATCACTACGAAAATGTCAGTCCATGAACTAAAATGGTGGATGTTGATGCAAGGGCCTACTATCAGATCATGTAATATTCTGGTGGGTCCCACTCTCCCTAGCTCATGGTTTTTCATCTTTCATTAGAGAGTGATGAATATGTTAGATTTTTATTCTTTCTTTCTTTTTCACCTTGAAAGTTTAAATTGGACTATGGTTTTCCACAGGCCATTGGAACGTCGTGTACTTAATGAGAGATGCAATTGCCCTGCCATCATTGTTTATTTTGATATCATTTCTTTAATTTTTCCCTTGAAAGTTTAAATTGGCCTATGGTCTTCCACAGGCCATTGGAATGTAATGTACTTCTTAACGAGAGATGCAATTGCCCTGCCATCATTGTTTATTTTTTAGTTGTGGGCCATTATTCCTTTTCGGGCTGCTTTAGGTGTGTTGACCATTAATTTTGGTTTAGCTCAAATTGGTGTCCTTTTTATCAGGTTTTTGAAGATGTTCGAAAAGAGTACTGGTATAAGCCTCAGGTATCATTATATGCTGATATGATTGCAGTATTGGCACGAAATGGAAGCTTTGAAAAGGTTAAATTGCTTTTCTCTGATTTGAAGATGGAGATTTTGGAAGGTGATATTGAAGGGTTTAATGGACTTTTGAGAACTTTCATCGAGTTTGGCATGGCTGGTGCTGCAACCGAATGTTACCATTTGATGAGGAAAGTTCAATGTGAACCGGATAAATCTACATTTATGATATTGATTAATGGCTTGGAATCACTAGGAAATTTTGATTTTGCATCTAAATTAAGGTCTGAAGCTGAAAAGTACTTTGGAGACCTAGAGTTTTTTTTGGAAGAGAATGAAGGAACAGCAATGGCCTTAACTAGGAGCTAGCAGCATACTGTCAGAGTCCTCATGGGACTGATACATGGTGTATTGTTCTTGTTGGGGAAGGTACAGTATTGGAGTATATATCAAGAAGAAATATGGGATACATTAAAACATCCAGATTCTATTACTCAATTCAGTCCCATGGAAGATATACTTGCTATATGTGAGCCCTACTCTACTATTGATCCCTTTTGTATTGATTTGCCTCTTTTTTTATCTAGCCCATCAAAGTGCTAATGATATGATTTACCTTTTTTTTTTGGGATGTGAATCTTGTGTAAATGAAGCTGTAGAACCTTCAGAAATGATCAGACACCCAAAGAACATGATGCCAACGTTTCATATTTATTAATTGAGAAGATTCGTGAGTTTCTTTTCGTTAATACATTGATTGAACTGTTTGATTCCCTTTGAACTTTTACACAGCATCTTATGATTACATGCAGAAGTGGGGGATGTGCAACCCACCTTTATCGAATTTCCAGATCCCCATGCTGAAGATATCAAGATAGAAACACAGATTTTTGTTGCAAAAAGGGCAAGGTAGGATACTTTCCATTAACAATCACATTTCCTCAATTTGGATTCACACTTATATATATAGTGGCTTGTATATTATATTGGCACATCCCATGGTTTCTTTGATCCCCATATCTTTTGCTTTTTCTTTTGCTGATTAAACAACTCAACTATATCAATCTTTCTTACTGTTTCCAAGACTTTTTGGGTGCTCCGAAATACTCACTGTTTACTTGACATTACTTCTCTGATCTGTAGAACTTGTGAGTCCTATACTCCTATCATAATGGAATTTACGTTTTTGAACTTTCAGACTGATAATTCCATATCATGGAGCCAAAACATTTTTCTCCATAGACAAAATGGGAGCTTCCAACTTCATCTCTCTGCCTGCTCTGTCTAAATCACTTTCTGAGCTTAAAAAAGCAGAACTAAGATTTCTTTCATACCTCAGTGACTCAAAGTTATTTACCTTCAAAATTCTAGCCCAATTGCCAGTTTAAGGGAACGCCTGTATATGACATATTGCCATGCTCTTGCGGAATTATTCTCTACTAAAGCTGTTTTCCTTCAAATGTTTGGCCAAATTGCCAGTTTGAAGGAGCCAAATTATATGATACCACTCTTCTCCCACTGCTACTGGTTACCTCGAATGAAAGGGGCTGACTACCGAGGTCTATATTGCATTGCCAATTCTGACCCCAGTTCCTTGCCATAGGCAACCACCCAGTCTTGGAACCCTTTATCTTCACTGCAATCACTTCTCCATCAGAACCCACATTTGTTATCAGAACTTGATGGAAATATGTGTTCCCTCCTATGGTGAATCGTAGGCCTCCATTTCTTGCACAATTAACCCTAGACAGCACCCGAACAGGACTTAATCTCTCTATTGAGTAATGATGAGAGAGAGAGGGACAATTAAAAGTTCAATACTATGAATTCACATGCACTTTTACGATATCAAAATGGAAATTTTTTATATGTTCATGAGCTTTCATGAATCACATAAATAGTTGGTGAATGTTTTGAGAGGACTAGATTTCTATTTTTTTGCTCAGAAAAACAACCGAAAGGCTGAATGATTGTTTCCAATAGTTAGTTATTCTTAGTATAAATGTGGGATAAATGATAGTCTACATTTTGAGCTTACCTTTCTCATTGACAAGAACAAAGCTAAAAAGTCTCAGTCCTAGAGATTAAACATGGAACTGGATAAAATCTACCACAATGCAAGATTTGATTGTAATGTGTACAATCAATGAAATCAAGTTCATTGTTTATCTCTCTCTCATGAAAAACCATCTAGACTAGGAAATGATCCTCCAAAATAAGTTGTGAAGTTCATTAGTTATTCTCTATCTAATTCTCACCTCCTATATTGCACTGGTACCATATCAGCTTGTTTCTCTGCAATTTCATAGAAAGCCAAGGCCGACATCTCGAAATGCTCTCTAGGATGGTTACACCAGCCACCATAATCACTTGGAAGGCCATAGTTTGGAGGACAAAAGTCAGTTGCAGTGACTATAACAGAGGGGCTTCCTTGTAAACACCACAATATGTGATCCACACATCTTAGTTCGAAGCAGCCACCACAGGTACTCCCTCCATTGAACAGTTCACTGCTTAATCCAGTGCTATATGTGTAACCTCTCTTGTTCAGGTCGCCATAGCCACAAGCACCATCACCTGCATTATGTTGGCACTGTGAGGGAAACATACGAAGAGGGACCTCTACATAACATTTTCACAAACCCCACCTCCCCTTCCGGCTCTCTCTCTCTCTCTTCTCTCTGTTCTCCAGGCATAGGACCAACTTCTCTCTCTCTCTGTTCTCCATGCATAGGACTAACCTACCCTCTCTCTCTCTCTCTCTCTCTCTCTCTCTCTCTTCTCCTACTCTCACTAGTACGTAACTACTCTCTCTCTCTCTCTCTCTCTCTCTCTCAGCAGTAAGAAGAAAGAGGTCGAATACCAGTAGTAACTGAGGCATAAGGGTCTTTAGAATATGTAGCCGTCGCTGACTTCCACTCTTCAATACTACCCTGTGTTGCCTTGCTTAAGCTGGACACCACCATAAGACAGAGGAACACAGCATGTAAAACACCCATTTGGTTGAGCCAGGTACTTCTCTCTCTTCACTTCAAAAAAATATAAGACTTGAGGAGAGAAAAAGACGGCATTTTTTCTAGAGAGGGGGCCCTAGTCTGAGGTTCCCAATCTTTTTTGTAAATGACCATCCCAACCTTCTCTGCATTGCTTCCATAAAATTTGAATTTTGAGTGTAATGCCTTCTCTGTCAACCTCTCTCCATTTGGCAACTTTGAATTTGTACATACAAGGGAGTGTGCTGTTCATTTACCCCTTCGTGTAAAACTCCATTAGGATTAATTTTAAGAGCCTAAATTTTTTGTGAAGTAACCTCTTAAATCCCGTAGATTGACCTGAAAAAAAATTTCCTAACTGCATTTTTTATGCACTTAAAAAAATAATGCTCAAGATTGAATTGAGACCATTTAATTTTTAAAACATGACATCTAAGTATTAGAAAACTGGAATTTCAATTTTTTTTAGACAATAATTATCTAGTGAGGTAATTCACAAAATTTTAGGTTGAAAAAAAATTCTTCCCAAGTAGGTTTCAGACCGAGGTAGCATATATACATTATTATGCTCCTACAGGTGTATGCTCTACTGTTATTTCAATGCAAAAATTAAATGAAACTTTACTTTTGTGAGTAGTATAGGAGCCTTTAGGACTTGGAAAGTCAGAAAGAAGGGGCGCCTCGGCATATGTGTATTCGTTAAATGTTAATTGTAATTAAGAAATGTGATGCATAGGTTGATGGGGAACGAAGTTGCGACATGGAAGAAGCTTTGGCAATGGTGGCTTCATTTCAGGCTCTTCTTTTTAGACAAATGTTGGTAAGGGAATATTGGGGACATCGGTGAGTGGATAAAATAAAGTGGTCCGAGACTCAGGTCACTGCAAAACTTTTTTTTTTTTCTTTTTTGCTTTTTTTTTACATTAAAGTCACTGTCAATCTTTCTTTCTTTTTTTTTCTTTTCTTTTCTTTTCTTTTTTTTTTTTTTTTTTTTTTTTTTTTTTTTTAACATTAAAGTCACTGCCAAACTTTTTGACGAATATGGAGAACTTTTTGGTATTTTTTCTGAGTGATATAATTAGTTTCTTGATTGTCATGTTTATTATCTCATAAATAGTATCACAAATCAATGTAAGGGCGGGAGTGGGCCAGGTTGGTTTGGAAAGGGACCCTTGCCTTACTCTTGGGTTAGGTGGCCCTATTGATGGAGTCGGGCCAGAGGAGGCTAAATTCATGAAGAAAAACAAAGAAAAGGTGAGACAGGCTGGACCCATGCCCTGGCCCAGCCTGGATATTAAGCCTAGAGTTTGGGCTTGGGCTCAGCATTTGGGCTGAATTTAGCTAATTAGGGCAGGGCTGTCTAGGCTATGCTACGCCATCTAACCCATTGCTACCCTAAAATCAATGTTTATACTAGCCAAGGTCCTAAGATAGAGTCAATTGATCTCCCTCAGGTAAGTTTCAAGTCAAATTGGTGTTTTTTTTTAAGGGATTGTAGATTATGAGGCCATTTATTTTTACTACGAGGTCATCCGCTTTGTGGGCATTTAGATTTAAGCCTTTAAAAACTCAAAAAACAATGTTTTGCTTGTCTAAACTTGTTCATGTAATGATGATGATGATAAGAACATATCACAAAATTGGAGTAGAAAAATACTTTAGGCCTTGGTCTAATCATCTCATCAAATGGAATGCTTTTATGTTCAAAAGAAAGCTCGCTCAATGTGATCTTACACAAAATTTGCAAGATTGCCAAAAATTGGGCTTGGGCATGAGTTGTTAACTGTTGATGTTAGCAATGCCAGATCTCAAGATTGATTCCTACCAAACTACCAAAATAAAAAAACATAAAAAAAAAAAAATGCATTGGGATGAAGCAGAATTTATCGTCAAACAAATGCTCCTATCATTTTTTCTTAATAAGCGGTTTCATTGTGTTATTAATATACGAAATTGTTTCATTGAAATCACTCCCGATGCATATAATTCAACTCTCTGCATTTACAGCTAAGATGAAACCTTCGTCCATTTGATTGGACATCAATCCTTTATTTGAAAATGTTCTTTAATTTTATTGCTCAAACGAGATTACAACGTAATCAACATCAGAAATGAGAAGGGATGGAAGAGTCCCTCCTCTCTTCGTATAAGAATCAGCAACGTCATTTGCCTCCTGAAGGACATGAATATAAGACCAGAACCTTCCTTTGTCACCTAAAACCGACTCCATAAAGTGTGTAATCTTTATGTGTTACATATCCCCTTCCATTGAAACCCCTTCGAAAACACGTCTACTCCTTTCAATCTGAGACCACATCAATCATTTGTTGAGTATGAACGGACAATTGAGATTAAATGTAGTGCGATGTTTGCATGCATCCTCCAATTCTAAATTTTATATGGATTTTCTTGTAATTTCATGTTAAAGGGTAAGGTTTGTATAAGGCATCAACCTTTCTTTTCTTTTTCTTTTTTTTTTTTGACAATATTACGAAGCTTTATTCAAAAGCTGAGTCCACAATTTCAAAGCATAAGGCATCAACCTTAGACAATCAAAGTAAGGCACAAGCCAAATCTATGTCGAAAGATGCAATTTCAGCTCGAAAGGTCTTGCGATGGCATGAAAGTCTACTATAGCAGCTAATTATGAGATTAAAAACTCCAAAATGACGCAAATCTAGCATATACATGAACAATTAAAAATTTTGAAAATAGATGGTCCAGATAATGCGTTGCAAGAGGCATTATTCTTACATATTGAAATTAATTTTTTCCTTTCTCAGGTCTATGTCTCTCGAAGTCGAGATGATCAATTTGAGGGTTTCTCATCTCAAAACAACTTTTTTTTATGAATTTTTTAAGGATGCTTTACTTCAAAGGTATAAAATTGACTCCCTATATATAAACTTTTTGCCTTTTTAAAATATCTATCACTCTTAAATGCAAGTTATACACTATAATTAATACGAACTTTAAAAGGGAAACATCTTCTGAACATAAATAAAAATTTTGGAGAAGTTTCGAGTCGTTTGAGAAAGGAAGCTTGGATGCTCGACTACGAAAATATCCATGAAACGAGATTCTAAAGCTCTTTTTTTTATTCGTAGTTCTTCTAGGTTTGTTCATATTAATATTCTTTTTTGAGTTTTCAAGAGCTTTTTAACAGAAGAATTGTTATACCCAAAGATGATTATATAGGAAAATTCTTAAAAGAAAACCAAGTGAGAAATCTATCGTTTACAAAATATAGATTTTGAATTCACCCAAAAAAAAAATCACAAATGTACAAGATACATGAGTTTTAGTTTTTTCCTCATGCTCAAGAGAAGTTAAACACCCATTTAGCATGGGTGAGACGTTGCATATTAGAGATGCTACTGATCTAGTACATTTCATGTCCACCGTTCATCAGATGCAATGAATTGATGGATCTTATAGATACCTTTTGTGATGATTATTTTCAAAAAAAAAAAATTGGATTTTGAGTTATTAAATGTCAAGATCTTTTCCTCTAAAAATTGGACGGTTCCTATTCAATCTTGGGATGTCATTTGTTTTTAGGCACATAGAGAGTGCGATTTTTTATTTGTATTTTCTTCTTTGAGTTTTCTTCTTTGAGGATCCAAAATTTTGAGATCCAAAAAACGTACCTAATGTGAGTTTTGCCCGAGGGAGGAATGTGATTATTTATAACTTTCAAAAGATTGGAGAAGCTAAAATCAAACTTTAAAACTACCTTCAAAGATTTTCCTATTTGTAAACGCAAACTACCCATTTCTATTGACAGGTAGATCTAGATATTTAGAAACTCCAAAGCCTGTTATTTTCTTTTTATACAATTATTCATATTGTAACTCCATCATGACTTTCTTAAGCCTAAGTGAAAAAAGAGGAGGTTTGTGTTAGGTTGGCAGCAATCATAAACCCCTTGCCACATCTCTATTATAGATTTTGTTCCAATACTATAAGCTCATGCTAGATATTTCATGTAATCTAATTTAAAGTATGGCTTTTGATAGAGCAAAATATCATAACAAAATTCTTGTAGGTTATTAGGATTCAATACGAAAAAGCAGTCAAACTGCGTGAATAGTATGCTTTTAATGGAATGATTTTATGACCCAAAATTTATATTTTCTCGGAATTGATGGTGGTCGAGATGATAGACCTATGAAATTTTGGATCCAAATTCTAAACTCCAAGACTAATTTCAGAGGTGTACCAAAGTCCAAGCCATAAACAAACAACATTCTGAAAACACATATATTGCCCTGGACAAAAATAATTACAAATGAACCAAGAATATATGTGGGGTTTCCAATTCACTAGCTAACTGGCATGCAAGCTACAATGAACAAAGTACCGAGGGTTGTCAACCAGAGTTAGCTGCAACTTCTTCCCACATTTTCCACTTAATGACACATTTATATCTAATATCATAACCATTTCTTTGCACATAATGTTCACAAAAGTCCTTTATAAGACAAAAATCTGGAAACCACCCATGAGAGACATCAGTTCTACATAATATTTTTCATTTCTTGGCTCTTTTCAGCAGGAACCGAAGCGAGAAAAAGCCAAGCAAGAATGTCTGCCAAAACCAACCATTAGCATTATATGGATCCACTCTTCTTGCCAAGTACCATGCGTACACAGCCTCCATTCCATGGAGAGCAACTGCTACAAAAAACACAATGCGCAGTAGGAATTGTGAACGGAAAACAAAGAGATGGAGGGAGCGAGCCCACTCCATTTGCCCGAGATAAGGATGGGGTATAAAGGCCGAGCAAAACAAGAGAGACATCCCAATTATGCAAAAGAGCCAAGCGAAAATGGTGGGCCCATCTATCGCCTTCCTCTTCCTTTCCTGATAGTATGAGATTGTAGCAGCCATGCCTTCATGAGGGCTCACTCGAGGTACATAACCAAGCTCCTCCTTGGCTTTTAATGGGGAGAAATAGTGGGTCACACCAACCTGTTATGAGAGAGAGAGATTTCATCTTCAGGCAGTTGGTCCTGGTTCTGGGTAAAGACCTTTTACATGTACACGCTTTCTTTCTTTTTTTGTTTTGTTTTGTTTTCTTTTCTTTTGAAGGGGGTTCCAAGTGTGTGTGTCTGTCCATGTGTGCAAAGACCTTGTTGCAAGTGAGAGTGTGTGTATGTGTGTGCATGTCTGAGCATATGATATCACAAACGATTCATATATGAATGATGTACATCTTGCCTCAAAAATAAATTCTACATCAAAGAACATAATTTCTTTCCCTTTATTTTTACTTCAAACATAGGATTTGGACTAGTGCTCCTTTTTTGTAATGACCCCACATGCATGATTATTTCAAAACATAGAAAATATTGTAGTCCAAAATAGGAGAGAAGAAAAATAACCTTATACACTTCTGCAGGAAGCAAAGGTTGAGGAAGCCACGAGCACTTTAACCATGGATACAACAAAGTATATATGCATGAGCAAATCCGGGCCAAAATAAGAGCATGGTGAACGCTTATCGTGGATTTTGGAAAGTCATAATCCAGGCTTAATAGTAACGGGCGGAGAAACGCGAAAGAATTGACGGGAGCCCCTGTAAGAGAAAAGTATAACCAATATGCAAATAATCAAATCACAATTCTAGCGAGTTCAAATGCAAATTAATATGCCAATGAGTTCATATTGAAGCTTGATTTTAGATACCTTCATGATCGGGAAAGTGTGCTATAGGCAATAGAATATGGAAAACCATAGCCATTGGGGTCATCAACATCCAATAAAATGAACAGTGATGGCAGGAGAGCTACACAGCATGTCATACTGGAGCGGTTCCCACTTTTTGTCCATCACATCCCATTTCCGTGGATTGTGATGGCCCCTCCATGTACACAACCATTGGATCACAGCATGCCTTTCCTTGATAATTAAACACAGAGGTCAACCAACAATCTCATATTTGCACCAACCATGGAGCCTTTTCAGACATAGAGATTGACACAGCGAGATAAATAAGTTGGTACAAAATTTTATAAGTTCCATTCATCTTTCATACACTCAATGTTCCTAAGAACCCAACACATGGACAACAATCTCCTCAATTACTATTAGATGTAATAGTTCAACTGTTATCTAGTCAACAAAGACACCTTGCATCCATTGGCTTCCTGTTTCTTCATATTCTTTTTTTTTCTGTTTTTTTTTTTTTTGCTAAATTTGTTCATATTCATGTTCCTCTGTATTTTTTGTCGCTTATTAGGTCAATCCGTAATCACATTACATTAGACTCTAGCATATTTATCCTCAAATTCTACTCACCACTCAACCTGCAGGAAATTACACAATCCCGAGCCATATCCCTATTCAATTGTGTTATCAGAGAATACTCAAATTTTAGTCAGAAAATAACAATTGTAAGAACCATAATGAGCAGTCAGTACATAGATACTAATGACTCTCAAATAAATTACTGCTCTGGGAAGCACAATATGCAAGTTGCATTTGAGTAGAAGTACCTAGCCAGGTTAACTTAGCAACAACGGCATTATCACCAAACTTCTCATTAACAGATTAGAATGATAAATATGATTTCCTCTCATTTCATTTATAATCTAAGAATGACCAGGCCAACCAAAGTCGTTAGGTTTGACTGTGCCCTATTCATAATGGATTGGGAGACATGAAAGAGTAAAGGAGTCATAAATTATAAACTTCAATTTCATAAGAAATTTAATATTGATTTCCACATATTCACTTCCATTTGATTGGAAAACTGAAATGAGATATCTTCTTCAGAGTGCAGGTTATCAGCTGCATCTCCTTTGAAAATAGACCTACTTTTACTTCCACATAATGAGCCAAACTTGTGTCATCAAGGAGAGAAAATAATCAGGATTAACTGAACAGAATAATAAATTAATGTTACCGTGCCACATTTAATTGCATGGATAACATATATTGATACAACCACTTATTTGCTAAAGGTTATATTTTCTAGAATTCAACAAATTGAAACAAGATCAAAATGTGCTAAATAAACACGAAGCACGAAAGTAACATACAAGAGATCACGGGCCAGTCTGGATGCATGTTCAAATAGCAATACATTTGTAAATTTTTACAGATACTTTAGGGTTTGACCAGTTTTCATCAGTCCAACTGGTTTCATGACCACCCAAACCGCTAATAGAACCAGACCAAGCACTTGCCCAATTCAGTGCCCGGTCTAGTTATAATAAAAATGGAACTGACAGAGGACAAAACTTGGTTGGATAGTCTACGAAAATATAAATACTTTGTAAGCTGGGGAAGCTAACTTGACGCCAAATTTTAATGCATCACTTTTAAGACAGATGAATCCAATGGCTGTCCATCCCACCCAACATTTACTTTTGTGACAGTAACCTTTCCTAAAGTGATATGTCGCTTACTCATCCAACATCAATGCTCAAAAGGAATGTGCATTCCATCTATTGCTCCAATGTAATTCTTCAATCAAAGGAAATAAAAAAATTGTTTATTACATTTGATTTGGCAAGTTCCTAAGATGCTACTATCTCTATATCTAGAGGTGCATAAGTTTAAATAGAGATGCCTTGTGAAAATTTAAATACTTGCTCTGATTGCAGCCTTTTGGAAGTATATCACTCAATTGAAGATAAGCATAGTTGAATAATAGTTTACACAAATGCTTGAGAACTCTTTTGGACATGCAACTAATAGAGCACTTAGGTATGTAAACCAGTCTTGGATAGTACAGTTGATTGAGCTATTTCTTAGGGTGTACAAAAATTCCATCAATAGCTATTCACCCTTGACAAATAAGTACACTGCAACATATTTCGAATTACAAAAAATCTCACAAATACATTTGAAGAGATGTAATTTTATACAACAAGTTTCTAGAAAAAGTCTGGATGACCACGTAGTATTTCTTCGATGTAAGCAAAACTACATATGGATAGCCCAAAAAGGGTTATCTTCTTCATGTATATCTCAAGATAACTACACACCGCAAGTGCAACAGTCAATATTCTTTTGTGTCGCTGCCTGTCATCTAAAGTTTCTCCATATCAGTGTCAATCATATTTTGTTGTTGATTATGCATGAGATTTTTTGTTTTGTCTCCTTTTTATTTGCATGAATATGCTTCAGTGAGGGATGTGAAGAACCATCTTTTCCTTAAAAAAGCATGGATTGATTTGATATTATGTATGGTGAAACATAAAGGTTGCTGGGTTGTTAGATGTCCTGTTGGATTGATTATCATATATTTCATTCACCTTTCAATAATTTTCCATCACTTTTCTTAGACCTCTTTCTGTTGTTGTTCCTCATATTGAAATCATGCATAATGACCAAAAAAATATGAATGACACTGTCATGAAGAAAATACGTCAAAAGCAAGAGATTTTTTGCAATTGCATTTGTTTGCTTTGTAGTTATCACTAGATATGTACACGTGTTCGCCAGTGTTTTTGGATGCGTTCACCACTCTACACTAAAGGATAGAGAAACTAAAGAAACAAAGGCGGATCTGAGAAACTCACACCAAATAGAATGAAAGAGCATTTTATTGCATGTTTGAATTGCCTCCGACTGATAGCAAGGATGCAGCTGTTAATTAAACTCTCGTCACCAGATTTTAGTGGCCTAGGTAGAATAGTTTTCATAAAGAGGATAATATTAAGATGAACATTACCATCGTTTATGAAGTATGCCTGCCCAGAAGCCACAGGAGGCCCCTCTCGACCAGGGATGTCGTCCAAAAGTGCCATGCTTGCCAATAGAAGAGCATCTACTAAATTATCAATATAAACCCAGTCTGACTTCACGCTATCATCACCTATTTTACATGGCAATAAACCCATTTTTGCTAAATTTAAGATCCTGGGAACGTGTCTCTCTTCCCCTGGCCCATAAATAGCAGCTGGACGAATAGCACAAGTATGGAGTATGGCTCCCTGCTTTTCCCTGTTAAAATATTAACAATTGTTCACAAAAATATTCAGATCAGTGTGACTTATAACTCATTGGTTTATCATGATAGAAAATATGAAGAAGATATGACACCCTTTTATTAGAGTCTCAAGTCTCAAAACCAGGTTTCAAGTTTAAGTCACCAGCATCCTCAATAAGGAAATAACGTACACATATTTGTTTTAATATGATCAACTATCAAGTATGAGTTTGAAAGTAACTCCCAAAATTGCATCTCTCTGAGCTAAATGTTCTTGTTCGCAGTGTGCATTACCAATCGGAATCGAAAAGAGAATGCCAACCATCATAAAATGGAGTGTTGTACAGGATACTCCAAAGAGGATTCACCCATTTGCTCCCAATGAAAGATGGTGGAGCTTAACCATAGTACCCAGGTACAGGAAATCTCCACCGTCCACTATCAGGAATGGACATTGGATGCATCTTTGGGTTATCATCCACCTTACACAGTTGGATAGTATCAATTCTTTTCCAATACAAAAATGGAAAAGCCGAAAACTGAAAAAAATATTTGAAATCCGAATGCTTACTTGGAATGGCAGCCATTGCTCTTCAGAACAAGCTGTTCAGCAATAGACTTGCTACGACCATATGCATCGACATGATCATCAATAAGGAAGTAGTTCAATGCTTCATTTCCATTTACTATCTCAGTGCCCCCAAATACCACATTGTATGTACTTACATATACGAGCCTCTTAATGCCAAATTCGAGACAAGCATCCAGTATATGGCAAGTTCCAGTAATGTTTACCTCATCAATATGACCAACTTGGAGCATTTCCTTTCCTGACATGCCATACGATGCTACATGGAAAACGCAATCTGCCTCACGTAATGCTTTTTTGACATCTCTCTTTTGGCTCACATCCACTGGGAGCACAATAATTCGGAAATTATGGTCATTCAGATACATAATTGCACAAATACAATAGCACAAACTTCACTGAGGTAATCCAAACCCCAAGCTTCTATGTATGGTTGTTTATTGAGCAACTCATGGGGACAATGCCTATAACAAATTCTAGAAAAATCTGATATAAAAATATTCTCCTCAAACATTTACAAAGCAAGAGGCGTTCATGTATTTCGCTTTCTTATGTTTGTCTCCTATTTTTCATCATCATCCATCATTAAATTAAGGATGTAAGAGAGCACATGAATATGTCTCTTTAATCAAGAAAAAAGGACTCCACATTGTGTTAAAGCTTAAGAATCCCCCTCCCAAGGACATTCACTCAGTAGGAGGGGGCAATAATAAAATATGAAACCACTTACCAGAAAACAACTGTTTCAAAGAGTGTACACTGGAACTACAATCACACCACAAACAATGAAGCATGTGACAGAAAATAAACTCCAAAATAATCACTTCTGCTTGATGGGTAATAACAAATTAGCATTTGGCACAATAAACATCACAATACAACATGGGCTAGTTTTGCATTGGTCATCTGCAATGATTGTACTTCATTAGCAAAGATGCAAGCAATCTTCAACCCATGACATAAGAACACCATTTTCTCTAAATTCATGAGAGTCATCGAAGCATTGGGAGCATCAAGCAATTTCCCAAGTACTCCCCTTAGGAATTTTCTTTTTTAATCTTTAAATATAAGTTTCTTCCCCTTAGGCAACTGCTGACTCGATGCAACATTTGTCCCTTTCTTAGATCCAACGGAATAAAGGACAAAGCTGGTGAAACACTGAATTAGCAAGTCACTCTTTTCTAAGAATGTCTGAGGAAAATATGCTTTTCAGTACAATTAACTAAATTGATGCGTAATAAATGATACAAGAGCCATGCGTTACAAATTAAGTGGAAAACTCCTTCGTGGGAAATGGAATCATCATAAGTTTGCTTTGGTCATGTGTTCCTCGCCAAACTTTGTACAAACTTTTATTTTTCCTTGGATTTGGTCCATTAATTGCACATTTTTTAGATTTACAATTGCTATGCACACACACACACACCCACACCCACAAAAAAACTTAACTAATTTACGTATTTTTAGTGTTAACATTAAAATGAATAGAAAAATAAAAGGTATAGGAGAATCATTGCAATGGTGGAGCTCTACCACATGGATAGATTCTTCCTCATTTCCACCCACCCCTTAGAGACCCCCCATTAACACCAGAAAAGAAACCAACACACTAGTATACCCTATGGACATGGCTTAACAGTTCTATATACTTAGGGTATACTCCGCATACTATACTACCAGTTCACATCCCACATGGATATCAACAGGTCTTCCAATTCCCAACCATCCAGTCACAACAATGAACAGTTGAGGAGCGTCATAACTTCGCTCAGAGTTCATCGAATTTTTGTTTAATTTGGAGGAGAGAAACAATCCTTCCCAACTGCCCATTGTTAATATTGGATGGTTGGGTCATACATTTATTTACATGCAAGATATGAGTACGTACTTCAGTATACTTTTCCAATTTAAATTATTAGGAGTCTATTCATGAAGGCTAGCTACGCTCCCCCATGAGTTTTGGCCTACTCCTTTTGATTTATCTTGTTATGAGATCATCCTTTCTATCCCTTCGCGATCAGGCAATTTGATGAAAAAAAGGGCTATAAATTCACTCTGTTGAGATAGTGGATTGTGAAAATCAACAATAATCTAATTGAGGAACATACACAAGGAGGATGAGGTTTATATGAGATGCCTTCCTTATATTCTATAAGTAACGCGCAACTCTAAATTTTGCCTAGAAATGTACTTCCGGTGTCAAAAACCTTATGATTACTTGAAAGTCCATTTTTATCCCATCTATGAAATTTAAAATTCAAAATGGTACAGATCAAGTAGATTCTATAAATACTTGAAAATCTTGAAAATAGACCAGGTTACTTGTAGCAAAATAGTGTACTTTTAGTACTTGAAATTCTTTTTTTTTTATTCATATCCTACATCTCAAGGTCGAGATGATCAATTGGTGGGCTTTCTAATGTTGGAACACTCTCTTCTAAACGATCTTTTAGGTGCATGTTACTTCAACAGAAAAAGGTTGACACCTTGTATAAATTTTTTCCACATAAGAAAAACAGTTTAGGGTAACACAAATTTACCGATATGTTACCTATAGAAAGAGTACCTATACAAAGGAATGGAACACTCAAAACATAAATTACATCTGAAAACCTATCGATCATCACTGAGAACAAGGACAAAAGTGATAAAAGAATTATCAACAAGCAAATTTCACTTAACTTGCTATCGAGAATGAGGTTTTGCAAAAATCACATAAAAAAAACTGCAAAGCAACTCAATTAACGAATTTTTTAGTCACCCATTTCAGTCAACAATAGTCTCTATTACACCAATTAGATGGACTCAACAAATACCAACAAATATCTCACAAAAGAGGCACAAATTGCAACAATCAAAGAAGCCAGTTAACAGATTCAAAAATAATAATTGAAGAACCCAATTACCCAATTCGATAAAATTTTGGAGAATTAGGGTGCCATCTCTCAGTTGACTCATCAAGAAAATCGATATATAAATCTCTAACTCATTCTGATTCAATAGAATTAGATCATCATCATCACCATAGGCTTTTGCCAACTATTTGGGGTAAGCTATTCAATAGAATTAGATGAATATCCAAATTCCAGTTCACCAAATTTAAAATACCAAACAACTGTAACCAATATCAATCTTCATGCGAGAGAAAGCAACTAGAGAGAAAGAGAGGGATTAAGCATAAAAAATGGGAAATGGGTTTATTTACCAGACAGGCAAACAACTCCATTCTGCTTGAGTCGTTGGAACCATGGAGAACTTGTGCGAGGATCAAGGGCTCTGACATCTTTGGCTCCCCTCCTTTTCAACTCTAAGCAAAGGGCCGACCCAACAAAGCCTGCACCTCCAGTTACAACAAATGTTAACCCTTCTATGCCTTCCCTCTCGTTCAACTGCATCTCTCTCTCTCTCTCGTACAAATAACAAATACAGAGAGGAGACTGGAGACAGGAAGGGACTATCGGGCTGAAAAAGGAATTAGTAAAGAAAGAAGAGAGTGACAGACATGTTACTAACTGTAAGAAAACGAAGAGTGAAAAGGCATGTTTATAACTGCACGAGAGAGAGAGAGAGAGAGAGAGAGAGAGAGAGAGAGAGAATTGAGCTCGAAAAGATAAAGAGAGCGAAAGAGAATTGAGCTGGAAATTAGAGAGCGCGAGAGTTGAGCACGAAAACAGAGATGATTTGAACTTAAAAATGAGCATACTGTGCACTGTATTTACTCCCCTGGGACAAAACTTATTTTGGAAGGTTTTGTAGATCTTAGATTGTGGGATCCAATCTTATGATAATTTTAGAAGTAAGGCGTACTTCTAAAATTTGGGAGATGTATTTTTTTGTATTGGAAATTTTTATGATGGTTTAAAAATCTATTTTCTTCCATGAAATTTAAGATTTTAAGAGTAATGTAGATCGAATAAATCTATAAACATTAGAAAATAAATAGTTCAAATAACTTCGTACTGATACACTATTTTTAAAACTTGAAATTCTTGCTTTTCTTTACATCCACACATCACGAGATGGGAATAACCAATTGGAAGGTTCTCCAACATTAGAACACTCTCTTTTATAAGAGTTTTTATGCACATATTACTTCATTAGTATAAAGTTGCAATTTTGTATAAACTTCCAAGGATCCAAAAATTATATGTTTATCTTTTAAATTTTATTTATTTTTACATATTAATGATCTCCACGTTAGAGCTTATATTTTTCAAAAAAATTAAGTAAAAAACTCTTCTAAAAAATGGATGCATATCCTATGACTCATAGAAACTGTCCTATATAAATTATGTCCTCACATAAATAAAAAAGTTACCCAAAAAACAGTGCTTCCACATTTTCTTCATGATTTGATTGGGTTTTTTTCTCCTCGTTTCCCTTTGGCATGTTCAAATTAGACTAGTTGTGTTATGGTTAGCAGCAAATGACAAGTGTCCTTTTTTTTTCAGGCTAAATTGATTTAAAGGCTTATTAGCAAAATTTTCAAACAATCGAGCTTCCAAATATACACTGCTAAACATGTCGAAGGGCAATTCCCTCGATAGAATGTTTAAAATAAAATTGAACACAATTACTAATTGCTTAATTGTTAAGATAATTTATTGACCACGTATACCATACTCCTACACGAGAGCATACTATGCATCTACTCCCTCCTTGCAGTCAAAACTCAAAAGACATACTCTAGAGGGTTTTTTTAGTCTGAAATTTGAACCGCTAGGAATCATGATTATTTTCAAAAAAGAACAAAAAAAAGAATTTCAAATTTTTTGCACTTCATCTCACCACCTCAAAGATGGGACAATCTCTTTTCATATCCGAGGCACTTTTTTTTCATAAAAAGTTTAATATGGAGTTCTTTTTTAAAAAACTGCATTTAACCTATAGGTTGTAAATGTTACACCCCCAAAATTAGAGAACCTAGATTTACTCCTATACTAAGATTTTCCTGGGGGTGAACATGCAGTATAGGAATATAAGATCTTGTGGCCGTGTGATTCAGTCCTCGCACTACTAATGTTCTTAAAACGTTTTAAAGAGGATACAAACTGCGGACCATTCATTATTGGCAACGTTAAACTCACACACACATGCGGAAGGACGGGGATAGATTCATTATTATTGTCCAGATCAACTACCGGTAGAGAGAGATCAAACGACACCAAACATGGGGAAAAGTTTATATAGAGCCGAGGCTTTAACCAATCAAATTAAAACTTACCTCAAAAATTTCATTAAAAAAAATTGTTTGTTTTGATGCCCAAACATCCTCAAATTGATCATCTCAACATCATTGATCATCTCAACATCAATATGCATGGACATAAAAAAAAAATAGATTTCAAATTTTGAAAATGGTAAATCTTGTAATGCATTTTTGGACAGTCAGTTTTCAAGATTTTTAAGTTTTCATAGATAATCTACACTATTTTTGAAGCTTTAAACTTCATAAATAAAGACAAACATATGTTTTAAAGCCATCAAAAAGATTTCCGGTATTGAAACCACATTTATCAACACTATTTGAAGGTAGGCTCTAATCTGATTGTTTAGAGCCTAGGCTCTATACAAACCGCACCCACATTAACAAGATCCAAGTCCAGAGAGAAGTCAAAGAACACTCATGAATTAAGAGCGACAAAACGATCCTGAAAAAAAATCAATTCCACATACACCACCCAAAAACCAAAGTGAAATGCCCCTTGAAAATCAACTTGCAAGCAGACTCATCAGTTTAGGCCATGGAGGACCCGTTTGTCAACGTTCCGTACCCCTTGAAACTCATCCCCAAATGCCCAAACAATGTTAACCTAGCTTCGTTTTTCAAAGCCAAGCATACCTAGTATATGGCCAACTTATTGATACCATCTTATATGCCACAGCTACATTGTAACCACTCAAATGAAAATATCATCATCTAAACCTTATCCAACTATCAAAGCTCCACTCATAAGTGACATACCACAAAAATCCTAGACAGCACTACACATCACTAAACCCGATCAAAATTTGGAGAATGCGAGAACAAACACACCACCATGTGGAACAACAGCTCCTCCTAGCAAGCCTACTATCACGCGCTTCCTCACAATTCTCTTCCCTAAAGAGCCTTCTCTCTTAATTTTACACAAAACCCATTAACCCAAACTTCTTTTCATTTTTCCACAGAAACCCCATTAATCCGACCATTGAGAAATTTCTCCCCTTGAAAATGCGTGTTTTCTCTAACCTTATTTCCATTGTTCCACCGGACTCAAAACTCAGTGATCCATGCAAAATCCCCTACCATTTCTTTGCTGAAATGATCATTGCACAAATCTATCTCCCAATCATCTTCCCTCTTTTCTTTCCATTTTCATTTCACCAATCAGGGCTAGTAGAAGGCATGATTCTTGCAGGCATGTCACAAGCAGGACTTCGAGTGGGCATCCCCCAGTTAATATTACTCTTTGGAGTTATGGACATTTTGTTCATCGAGTATTCAAATTCATCGAATTCAGACTCATTTAGACTACCTATAACTTCATCTTGGTATGATCCCATGTGACCATCCATGAATATATCATCACCATCATCATTGACATCACTACTATCATAATCATGACATTCATCAACATCATCATCATCATCACCATTGAGATCAAACTCATCATCATCTTCATCATCTTGAACCATGGACCAGAATATGAAATTCGGCCTAATAAACCTACAAAAACAGAAAAATGTCCTTTACTTAGGGATTCCAATTTCATCATACTAGACTTTTTTGACACAGAATACAAGCTAGTCACATAACTGATTGAAAAAGCATACTATAATCCAATGGCATAGTGAAAACTGAAGTCTAGTAGGTCATCACCATCCACTGACATGATGGTCGATGATGACATGATAGCCAATGATGGGGAGAACAGGATCCAACATTAGGGCCATGTCCTATTTCCCATCCCCCATCATCATCCATTGTCGCAATGGATGATTATGACCCACCCAATGGTCCATTGGATTGAAAGACTATCCCTTGATAGATAGAACTTAAGGTTTGGTGGTTTTTTTAAATGGGAGAGCACAAATACCTCTCCGATCTTTTAAGAAGGTACGGATCAAAGGGGAAAAACATATCAAGTCTCTCTACACCACCAAATGTCCTCGAATTCTCGGATTCAAGCAAGTTTTGGACAATGGCAGTAGCCAAAGAAGTAAACACATCGGCCACTTTGGTCCGCCTTAGGAATTCCTCCACTATGGAGGGCAAACAAACCTGTCAACATGACCATAAATTATAAGTACCATATCACTCAAGAAACGGGAAAAAGAAAAATTATCCGCATGTATCCAAGAAGTCTCTCTCTCTCTCTTTCCCCCCCCCAAAAAAAAAAAAAATTACAAGTATCATATCATAAGTGCAACAGCATGCCCCCAGCTCTCCCTCTCTGACGGTCCATTTTATTGGACAATAATGGGCCAACAGACAAAACCCAAATAATTCATGCTATCACTCACAAAAACTAGCTTATTCCCATCCAGTACCATAAACTAAAACAGTAAAAAGATAGCACCAATCCATTCAATTCGAAACTTGAGGCACAATACTCAATTAATCATCCAAAGAAGCCCAAATAGTGAAATAAATAACATATTTTGCAAGTCGAGTGTTACTATAATCCAACTCAATGTGTAAACCATATCCATAAGGGTCGTCGCCATCCAATGAAAAACCTCCAGTGGCTAGAGAATGAATGGGACCCATGGAACAGCACATAAGTGCAATCATGGCCCCCAGGTGTTCTTCTGTCACTATCCATTTTATTGGACACTGATGACCCCATTGGACAATGATTTTCCATAGTCCATTTGAATTATTGTATACCTTCCCTATGGAGTAGTAGGTAGCAGCAGCAACAGCAGTATTAAGAATAATCATATTAATAACAATAACAAATTTTTTTTATCAACCAATAATAATAATAACAAACATGTTGGAGAGATTTAAAGGTGTACCTTCAATGGATTCAGTGAATGGTGCAGAACAGATTCTAGGGGCCGGAATATGTGTGACTTGAGGTATGGGATCTCCATAATTGCTCCAATCCGAAAGCAAACAACATACATCACAGCCTACAAAACAGAATATAACCCAAATTTTCTTAAAAGACGAAGTAGAGTAGGCTAAGTCCTTATAGGTAAAGAGCTTCAAGTTGCATGCACATGGAGTAATACAAAGGGAACAATAGGCAAACTGGCAAAGACAAATAAAGACAGGAAACCCTACTTGCTTCCTTTATTAAGGAAAAAAAGGATCTAATTTTTTTTATTTTTTTGGTTTAAATGATGATCTGTGGATAGCAATACGAGTTGATAATCAGTCCTTGTATGCAACAGGAAAAAAAAGGAGTAAATCCCAACGCTAATTCTCTCTCTTTTTTCATGTGTAACTGAGTATTATTTACATTTTGGGTGTTAATTGCATTTCTTGAGTGGTTTGCAACATAGATAAACAAATGAGGACGTTCCTTTATTGGGTTATTTTGTTCTACTTCCTTTGTCAACTGTTAAATTTTCATTACAATAGGAATGTGCATACTTATATTTTTTTTGTCCTATCAATACCAGTACAGAGAATATGCCAACAGATAGTTTCAGTTGAAGTTTTAATAGTCAACTCAGGCTGCTGCCTGTGTCGGACTCAAAACCAGATTATAAAGCGAATTTTCCATTTATGAAGACGTAAAAAGAAGATAACAGGCTCCTCTCTCAGGTCTCTGCCACCTCACTCTCTCAAACACTTGCCCAAATCTATAGAAGACAGGCACGCTTGACTAAAGACTCACTAACACTAGAAAAACTCACTAGGCCACCAACTCAAGTTGGCTCTTCTTGGAAAGAGCATTTATTCACTTTCCATAATTCCAAAGAGCACATGTCCCAGTGGCACTATCTCCTTCAAAATGTAGGTGCACGGTCCAACTGCACACGCATACTGATACAAGGATTATTCTTATTACATCCTTTTTGGAGTTCATGGGCCAAGTTCATAAATAATTGAAATTGTTCATGTACTGTAAGTTGATTATCACAGCCGATGACCAGCCAAAGTTTTCTCCATTTCCCTTTTTCACAAGTAGAAGCATGTAATGTTCCGTATTTTCTACTTCATCTTTCTTATAAGTAGCATGTTCAATAATTGGTCCCACCTGATAAACTCAATTTCATATTATTCAACTGTTTACTAAGTGAAGAATCTCAACACAAAGTGGATATAGCTTAGAAATACCTGGCATCCTGAGTAAAAGACCCGATGAGTTGCTGGGTTTAAGGGTTTCCTCAGCTCATCCTGAATTTTACAGTACTCCGAACACCAGTCCACCAATCTGATGAAACAAGGAAATAAAATAACATATCAATAAAGGCTACTAATTAACAATCCCTTATTAGACGATGAAATCATGGCAAATGACAACCTTTTCAATGTGCTTGCAACTAAAGAAGATGAGACAAATCTTCCTCGTGATAGATAGCTGGCAAGATAAGCAACTGCACTCATCCTGAAACAGAACACGGTTGCAAACTCTTTTAACTCCAAATCTAGACATTATCAATCCAAAATTAAATAAATAATTTTCCTCCATTTTCTTTTATTTGTCGCTCATTATACTTGGACACTTCCTCATGCCACGCCAAGGGTGAAATATATGGAATTTCACTCTCAACAGGCAAAGGCATTTATGAACCCCCTTAATTCATAATTACTTACAGGGTGCGGCTTGTATAGAACCGAGTCTCTAAACAATCAAAATAAAGTGCACCTTCAAATAGTGTGGAGAAATGTGGTTTCAATACTGGAAATCTGTGATAGCCTTAAAATATATTTTCATCTTTAATTACATAATTTAAAGCTTCAAAAATAGTGTAAATCGAGCAGATCTATGAAAACTTGCAAACCTTGAAAATTGATAGTCCAAATATGCATTAAAAGATGCATTATTTCCAAACCTTGAAATCCAATTTTTTCTCATGTCCATGCATCTTGATGTCGAGATGATTAATTTGAGAATATTTGGGCATCAAAACAACCTCTTCTAGTGAAATTTTGAGGTGGGCTCTAATTTGATTGTTTGGAGCCTCGGCTCTATATAAACTTTTTCCTTACATAAATTTATGGAATTTTACTCTCAACAGGCAAAGACAGTTATGAACTCCCTTAATTCATAATTACATATTAGTGACCATGAAATCACAAATATGAAGAAACAGCAACCAAAAAGAGAGAAGTAACAATGGGTGCACACAAAACAACCCACCACCACCGCAGGGAGGGGGAAGAGGTGTAGAGAGAGAGAGAGAGAGAGAGAGAGAGAGAGCAGATTCAAACGCACAAGCATGCACGTGAGTATTTGCTCATAAATGTTGAAAAATTCGTCCGCCTAGGAGGCCAAGCTTTAAAAAGCCTAGGAGTGCTCCTAGGTGCCCAACACGCCACCTAGGCACTCACCCTAAGGCGGATGCCTAGATGCAACTTGGTCGAGGGAAGAAACAGAGTCTCAGCCAAGGTAAAAAAATTACCTTCCCTCCCCCCTCCCAAACAAAAAAAAAAAATTAACATATGTATATATATATATATATACCTAGTGTCACATTAAACATTTGCTTCATTTTCTTTTATTCGTCACGAATTATACTTGAATACTGCCCCATGCCATTCCAAGGGTGAAACATATGGCACTTCACTCTCAACAAACAAAGAAATTTATCATCATCATTAGAGCCTTTTCCGAACTATTCGGGGTTGGCTACACGAATCCTAGTCTGTCCTTGTACTCTATCAAGAGTCATACCCTCAGTAGTAAGGCCATCAGCCCCCATATCTTTTCTCACTACTTCCCACCGTGCCCTTCTGGGCCCACCCCTTGCCTTTTTTTAGCCTGACACTTGAAAGTACTCACACCTCCTAATAGGTGTTGTATTGGGTCTATGTTGCACATAGCCAGCTCACCTAAGTCTATTCTCTCTCATCTAATTTCTTATTGGAGCCACAACTAAGTTCTCCCAAATGTATTCATTTCAAAATCTGTTCCTTTTTATCATGTCACTCATCCATCTCAACATCCTCATCTCAGCTACACTCATCCTATGGGTATGTTGTTTCTTGACGCCCAACATTCCGTCAAGCAAAGTGGTCTCACAGTTGTCCTATTAGAAGTTGCCCTTCAGCTCCATTAGTACGCGGTGATCATAAAAAACTCCGGTTGCATATCTCTACTTCACCCACCCAGCTTTAATTCTACATGCGATATCTTCCTCAATCTCTCCATTTTCCCTGATTATTGACCCAAGATATCGAAAGTGTGTTTTTTTTGGTATCTCTTGGTCATCAATCTTTACAACTCCCTCGTCTTTACTCTTATTATTATGAAAGTTCCATTTCATATACTCTGTCTTAGTCCGGCTAATCTAAAGCATCCTCGGCTAATATTAAAACCTTAGCATCCTCCAAAAATCTAACTTTGTGTTGACGTTGCTTCAAGTCTCGTCAATTAAAAGCAAAGATATTTATGAACTCCCTCAATACATAATTACATATTAGCAACCATTATGCAAACCTAACAACATACCACATAAAACCATACATAAATATGAAGAGACATAGCAACCGAAAAAGAGAAGCAACAATAGGTGCATGTGCACACACAACACCACCACCAAGGTGGCGAGGGACGGGAGAAAGCAGATTCATACGCAAAAGCAACGTGAGTATTTGCTCAAAAATGTTGAAAAATTCAACGGCCCAGCTGCCTAGGAGGCCAGGATTTAAAAATCCTAGGCATGCCCTAGGTGGGCGTGCTCCTAGCCATCCAACGTGCCACATAGGTGGCTAACCGCACCACCTAGGTTCCCAACATGCTGCCTAGGCACTCGCCTTAAGACGACCTCCTAGATGCAACTTGGTCAAAGGAAGAAAAATGCCCTCAACCAAGGACAAAAAAGCACCTTTTCCCCATTAAAAAAGGGAAAAGCTTTTTTTGTTTTTTTGGTTGGTGCGGGGAGGGGGGATTCTAGCCCCCCAAAACTATATACACACAGTGTCATCCCCAAAAAAAATAAAAAATCCCCTTAAAAGAAACAATAATAATAATTAAGTGCTATACAAATGGTTAAAGTCCTTCTCTCTCGCTCTCATGGGCCCATGTTGAGAAGATAATGTTTCCACTTAACCATTGTGTCAAAACCCCTAAGGTTCTCACCAGAGCATATGCCATTACAGTGTAAGGTTCCTTTACAGAAACTTACCATGTATGAAATACCATGTATGAAATATTTAAAACATGTGTTGATATTGCTTTGAAGTGATCCAAAATACACAAAAACAATAAGTAGACTCATGACAAGGAAATACGGAGTTCACATTGTAATCACTACAAGTACACTTCTCTTGCTCATAAGCTCTGATGGCATGGCCAAATATTTGCTCAAGTACGTAAGAGAGAGTAAGAAATTCAATTTGAGAGATGCAAGCTTTTAGGGTTCATTACATGATTCATTGGAGAGACTAAAATAACCTTTTATTTGCAAATTCCACAATAAAGCTCCCAACGAGGTGATAAAATGCATTGGTGGTCAAGAGATTTGCGTGCCTCTATGCTAGGAGCGTTTTGAGGTGCCCCATCTTCTATACATACATATTTACATACATGTCTGCTTGAAACACAAATATATGTGCGCGCACACACACATATAAGTGCTCCAAAAGCACATCTATGCACATATATGTATCATTTGTGTCTATGTGCGCGTATGCATAATATGTATAATTTATGCCTAATCTTCAATCCTCAATGTTTTGGATGGATATTAGGCTTTGCATCACTCAAAAAAATGGCTATTAAGCTCTGAATCACTCAAAAAAAATTGTTTAATAACCTCTCTTGATAGTTCAAAATGAATCGATTTTTCAAACTTCAAAAAATTTTCTATCCAAAAAAAATTTGAAACATTCTCTACATTCTTTATTTTTTGGGCAAGAGAAACCCTAGAACAAACTTTGGGATTAGAGTACCCCCCTCCCCCCAGAGAAATTACTTTCCCCCTTAAGTGAGAAAAATGACTCGATCGCCCTTGCTCGAGGGCATTTTCCATGCTCGGGTATGGGGCACACTAGGCGGGTGCAACGGCCAAGGCACTAGATGATGCCTGGGTGGGGCGTCCATGGGCAGACCACCTAAGAAGAGTCGCCTAGGCCTAGGTGGTGTGCTCAGGCCCCCTAGGCAAGCAAAGCGGACACTTGGTCAGAAGGCGGCCATTTTTGGCATCTATGGCTCCATAGATGCCAAAGTGATTTCTTTGAGACGTTTTTATGCTCAAACGTTTTCTTTTTTCTTTTTTTTCTTTCTTTGGGTGGGGGGGATTAAAAGTAGCCTCCACAATAAACAATAATGCTTTCCCTGAATTTAGAAGTTGAAATTATAACACAAAAGTTACAAGGTCATGTATCTCCACAAAAAGAATTTGAAAGATATTCTTCTTAGAGCTGAGAAAACAACATTTAAGGGTACTTCCATATATGATGCATAGGTACAGGAGTAATACTAATATATTAAAAATCAGAAGGAATCCATTCATTTTGTCCCAAACCAGGGAGGTTAACCCCTCTCGACACATCTAGGCCTCAGAATAAATGCACTTTCAATAATCATACATAAGAAAATACAAAAACAATCAATATTCACAATTGATTCGGATTACCTTGTGTTTGGAGGATGATTCTTGCCCACAAATATGTCCACAAGAAGACATGCAAACTTGGCACCACAATTTTCTGGATCAAGCGAGCACATGTAGAACAAAAGGAACTGCAGCCACAATGCATCAATCACACGAGAAAAAGAGAAGTAACTTTAGCATATCTTAGTTTGAGCACCATGTGAACGACAAACCCTTAAAAAAGGAAATAGATTTCACAGTAAGAGGAGGAAGGAGAGAAGGTGACAAAACAACTAATATTAGACAAAAAGTTCAAGGGATATACCTGAGTAAATTTCGACTTGTAGGTGCCCAATACTGTAGTTTGGAAGGACTGAAGAAGAGTCTCAAAAACCTACACAGAAAAAAATCAAAGATTAATTAGAAAAATAACTCAGGACAAAATCGGCATGTATACAGAAAGCAGAACAAGTTAATGAATCATCTATAGGTCTCTGCTTCTAATTAAGAACCAAATGACAATGTTCTAAAAGTAAAATAAACCGACCACAATAACAATGATATAAATAGTTATGTTTTTAAGTTTTTCTTAAGGGAGACAGTCCCACTATCCATGTAACCCTAAGAGCAGAATAATGTTGTGTGCAATTATCAAAGAAGCTTAGCCTTCCCAATAAAAGGTAATTAAAGGCACACACAAAATAATATGTTATATAACCTTTCCCACTTCAGAGCAATAGCCTGCAAGAGGAGGCATAGATATCAAATCATACAAACCTTCATTTTTTTTTAAAGAACACGGAACTAGTATTTCAAACGTATATCATCCTGCTACAGCATTATACACAGAAATGTATCAGTGTTGAATAAGAAGAAAGACAAGTATAAACCCACCTTATCAACATGGTTTTCAGTATAACATAATCTAAGGTGCTCAAAAGTGACCTCCATAAGGCAATCCATCTTCTCAGCAACATCTGCCAAACTATGCTTACTTGCATCTCGAAAATGATGGCTGGCCTATTTGTTCAATTTCAGAAGTTCAATAACATTCATAATCGTCTTAGTGTACATATAAAGACATTTTCTCAAAAAGCTTAATGCATATATATGCCATGTGATGCACAAACAAAACCCTACCTCAATGCCAGGTTTTCCATGGCATTCATCATTTTCCTCAAAACCTTCCAGTTCTATATCAAATAAGACTTTGCTAGGGTCATCCTGTAGAATATCTTCCCATCCTATTTCTACCTGGAAAGTTTAGAAACAAAACAAGTCCATATCACTCAGCACCAACTTCAATGGAAGTTTTTTGAGCATCTGAAAGTAAAAATAACAGTCGTATTCATGTAGATATCATAAAGATATAAAGAAATCTGAAAAGAGAATGCTCACATCAATCTCTATGAGCCTATCCACCACTGCCATCAGCAGTTTGTTCCCAATAAATTCACCGATAGCACTGCGGTGAAGCCTTAGCATATTATCTACAAAGAGCACATTCCACTGCAGACAAATATATAACACAGATCACCCATCAGATTAAAAGCTGAAAATATAGCAGAATATATCAGGAAAAAGAAACAGAAAAATGCAAGAAACATCATGTGCTAACATCAAATACGTAATCAAAAGTTCTTAAGAAATTAGAAGCCACATCAAACAAATCCGCATAAAATCTGAATGAAACTTAAAGAGTTCAAAATTGAAATGATGATTAACAGGATACTACAGTTCCAAGTGAAAGATCGAAACAACAATATCATTCCACTGCACAAAAAACACCTTCAATACCCCCCCCTCTCCCCCTCTCCCCCACCCTCACACACATGCATGGGCGCACACACACAGTAATGCTAAATAAATAAATAAAAAAGGAAAAAAATATGCTAAATGAAAAAAAAAAAAGGGGACTCTTAAAAGCCACCAAAAGCTGTTGAAACTTGAAAGATGTGCTTTGACTCTCTTTAGGTTACCAGTATAGATACATCTGTTTAAGCATCATAAGCTATAAAAGTGCAAATTTTAAGTATATGAAACAAACATAGGCCAGTAATGGCAGCCGCATGAAACAAATATAGGCCAACAATGGCTTCACAAAAATTTGGTGAAGCATATGACCTTCAAAAGTTCAAGTTTAACACATCCAGAAAAGGTTTCCCAGGAAATTTGAATGAGCTACACCCAGCAAGTGTGTAAAACAAATAACATATAGTGTACAAATGTGTATAATTTGATGATAGTATGTATAATTAGATGATAGACTCCAAAACAAGTTACTCACATCTCTAAGGAGTACACGGTGAGGCATTCTATTGAAGATTATAGGCAGCAACCTCAAAGAAGCTGTGGGAACCAAACTGGCTATCTTGTGCAAAGCTGAATGAACCAGGTCAAGGACTTCTTCCTTCCTTTGAAGTTGTTGATGCATTAATTTTGAGAGCAGCTCGTGCTGGTTGGCAATATTTGTTTGTCCCATCAAACGCCTAGTGAAACTATCTACCACATGTGACAATCCACATGCAGGAGGTAGAAAGTTCCTAACTAACATGTCCAAGCATTCATCAACAAAACCCCCATTTGCCAATGCCTGAATATCACATAATAAGACAGAAAGTTAACCAACAATGCTGGCAGAAAAGTTAACCACAAATATTGGCCACAAACTTTAAGAACAAGCATATTATAATGTTCCAGACCAAATTGATGATGAATTCCAGCAATGAATCTGCCACAACGCGCGCACAGTTCCATATGCTTATCGAGAAAATCTGAAAACCAAAATGTGATGGCTCAATTTCAATCTCAAGCTTGAAATTTCAATTGTGATGCCCTTGATTAGCAGAAAAGAGGTCAAGGCGTCTAGCTTTTTCAAAATGCAAACCAAGTGCACCTACCCAAAAAGGACAATATCAAACCATATGTGTGCAAGAGGAATAGGACTTACAGAGGAAATAAGAGCTAGATGGTGGTCACGGCTAATTGATGAGGTTGTCTGTGACAGTGCCCTTAGTGTAAACTGCCATATTCATTGCGGAAATATTTATGTGAAAATGTATGTATAAATATGGTTAGAAACACACCGCATAATTTTGTATCTATTTAACCTACCGCGAGGGACTCCTCCTCTTCACTATTGCCAGGTTCTGCATCGTTGATCTTTCTGACAAGCTCCATATATTTGGTAAAATCACTCTGAGTAATTTAAAATTCGATAAATCAATAAAGAGAATCGCAACTATAAAAACAGGATAACATGATGGACTTTTTTTCTTTTTGGGTAAGTAACATGATGGACTCTACAATTAAAAAACTATTACCAAAGAAACTACAAGTATACCAACAAGACTAACACTATGGACTGCAAATTTTTACAAAAATTGTTAAACGAGCAGAGATTGTTAACGAGAAAGCAATAAACTCCGCAATTCTTCTTTACTTCAGAGTTGAGACTGAGTAATTAGTTCAGATGAAAGTAAACAGTAAACACAAAAAGAGCTGAAACCCATGTCTTATTTTAATCATAATTGCAACGAATTGAAACCCACAATTTCTTACCCCAAACAGCTATTATATAAACAGGTTAGCATAGAAAAAGAGAGAGAGAGAGAGAGAGTGGAGAAATTGATTTATGTTTGCATCACATTATCAACACTTGAAAAAAGTTAAAACTTAATGCCATCGAGTACAAGAAATTCAATTTATACATTCCTGATAATCACACACCACTTGGTTTGCATCATCAAACACACAAGAATATGATAACTCACAAATCTGTTGGAAATAAGTAAATTAGTGCCAAAGCTCATCGACTTTCCCAAGTTAAAACGATTCGTATGTTGCTGAAAAACAGCTATCAATATACAAGAGGATTGAATACATGATTTCATAAAATGCAATGAGCAATTCCAATCAAAACGGAGAAACAAAAAAAACCCTAACCCATGATCTTCTGCTATGAATTGGTCAGATCCTAGAAGCAAGAACAACAGAGAATTCATCGCAAATACCTCAGTAGCTGAATTTAGAGCATTCCTGATCCATAAACCAAGAATGGAGAGAGTGTCTGAATCGCTTGCATAACCATCTGACATCAGTGGCGAGCTCGGACATTCTGAGACGAGTTCCAACCCCATTGCAGAGAAAACCCAATTGTCGACAACGGTTCTAGGGTCTATGCTCAGTTATTTCTTCGATGAAAATATTTTCTAGGACTTCTGGTCAACGAGCCTTGACAACGTTAAAATCCTCTCTCTCTCTCTCTCTCTCTCTCTCTCT